GTCGCTGGTACATGCAAAACTACCCCCATGAATTTATTTCGTATTTTTCACGATTCATGTGTTATTTCTAATTTAATAAATACTGATGAAATTAACTAAATGATAAATAATCCTGACTGAATTATATCTGATGAATACGAGATTTCTGGGATGATTGGAAACAACTTTTTCCTTAGCAAAAATGTTATCCAAGGATTTGTTAGCGAGATATTAACGAAAAACCCCGACCAATCAAAGCGCGTAACCAACGCTACTGCAGCAACTCAGTCGACAAACATGCGCTTTGATTGGTCGGGCTTTTTCGTTAATATCTCGTTAACAGAGCCTCGGACAATATATACATAGAGTGTGTAATATGGAATACAGAATGAATGTAAAAGGCTTTGGTAATGTTCAGAGGAAAGATCATAGGATCATGTAACAAAATAAAGATCGTACTTTTTTTTAACTTAGTAGTTATTACACTCAACATCTCAACTGCTATAATGAAATCGCAAGGTTAATACGAAATGACTATCAAAGAATTAAAAAAACGAAAAGAATGTGAGATATCGTTTATTTACAGTTCAGTTCCATAATAATTGCTCAAAATGTGTTCCTCGAACTCGGATGCAAGGATTTCATCAATGAATTAACCTTAACTATAAAAAGTTACATTCACAGGATTATGATTATAAATTATGACGTATCAATGCTTAAAAATTAAAACAGTTCCGAACAAACTATTTTCACTGTCTTCGAATCGAAGAAAATATTCTTAAATATTTATTAAATACAAGTCAATCATCAATACTATCGTCCAATTTTCCCAATGTAATGTTCGATATCATTAAAATTCGCAGGTCATGTTTGAATATATTTGTTAATTAGTAAAAAAAAAAAAGGATACGAGCGTGAAGTTCGTTGGCGTCATGCAAATTTTTACAATGAAATTAACATTTTCGTTTATCTCGAGGCCCGACGGCTACAAGCGCGCTCAGGCTGTAGTTTTAAAATCGCTGCCGGTTAAGTTCTCCCATTCCCCGGCCGTCAAAGCGTTTAAGCGGCGAGAAATGGTCGGAAGGGTGGTGGCAAATACCAGCTTTCTTCCCTCCGGTTCTTTCCTCGTCGATTTAAAACATTTGCCCTCCGCGGAACGAAAGTTCTCCCAGTGTCGTTCGTGCTGGGGGCGCCGCGGGATCGCCCTAATATTGGATTATATCAATATACGGGACACACACACACACATATATATATATACATATATGTACATATATCATATTACGGAATCAAGTAACGCGCCGGTTACTAAATTTCCGATTTCTTTACAGAGATAAAGACACCGCTACTGTCTCCCGCGATCAACAATCAATAAAATTCCATTCCTTTCGGCGGAATAACAATTACCTTTTAACCCTTTCCTCCCGCAAATTATTTAGAAATTACCAAAGAAATATTTTGTTGTATTTTTGTGTATACCACACGTCATATAAATGATTGACAAAAATATTTTTTAACATTTTCAAACCGTCTAATGCGGTCTTCATTCATTGCCATTTGGCAATTATTATAATCTTGTTATACATAATGAAATCTAATTTTCCTTACCTCTGATCGATAAAACCTTTTGAAATATTTGAAAGAACTTAGAGTTTGTGTAAGTTTCTGTTGTATCTGTAACAATGCTCAACACTTGAATTCCATCAAATGAAAAAGACAAACGACCAATAATGACATAATTCACCGATAAGCATTTAAATGTACATTCAAATTTGTATGAAGCATCGTACGAAAAAAATGTTATTCTATTTTCACGAACCATCTTCGATTTTCACGAACATATATTTTATTAATGAACATTTATTATCAAAGAAAAAAAAAACATTTAAAATCAAAGTAATATAAATGGACACAACCACCTTCACATTTATTAGCTTTCGTATCGATTAATCGTATTATTCGATATGAGTACTTTCCATCGATACCGAGTATATATCGCAACGGAAAGTATCGATACAAAAAATACTCAGTATCGAAATGAACGTATCAAGTATTTATTTGTATTTACTTGGATCGGTTCATCCCTACCCGTAGACGGAGGTCGACACGATGCCTTCTTTCTCGGCCAATGTCGCGAGGCTCCGACCTCTTCCCCCCACCCATTCTTTCGTTCTTTTTTACTTTATGGATACACATTCGAGGCCACTTCGTGCGAAATGAAGGCGTGTCGCCCGCTACTCATTTCGCCGCGACGGCCAGGGACACTCGATTCCCGTCGAACGGCGTGAAGGATATTGGAAGTGAAATGCCCCCGATCCACGAGAGTGTACCACTCGAAGCACAGGAGTAGAAGGAGTCCGGCTGCGTCGCCGCCGCCGCCGCGAGTAGTAGAGCGCGGCCGAGTGACTCGATTCTTTTCGGATATTAAACTTTGAAGATGCCGCACTTCGCCGCGGCATCTGACTCAGCGAGTGTCATTAATAACTTGGAGAGGAGATAGATAAAGTGCTAAACACCGGTTGGAGCCCCCGTGTGCTCGAGCACACGTCATTACCCCTTGACGCGGTGGTGCCCGCGGCTCGATTAAGGGCGCGCCTAATGCACACCCGACCTTGTCGAGGTCGGTTCACGATTTTCAACGACCCGTACCTTTTGCCACGCGTACAACGAGCCTATCCACTCTGCAAAAGATCAAGACCCGTCATAGGTAGTCGAGGAGACCGTCGGGTTCGGTGGCCATTTTAAGAAAATCGTATGAAAGTATTCAATCCGCTCTAGTGATAGGCGATACAGTATAGATATACCGGAATATCGATACTTTTGAATCTGAACATCGAATTTTTGTGTCGGTACTGTTGAATACAAATATCGATATTTTGTATCGATACTTTTGAATGCACATATCGATATTTTGTATCGATATTTTTGAATGCAACTATCGGTATTTTCTATCGATAGTTTTAATGCAAATATCGATATTTTTTATCTGCACTTTTGAATGCAAATATCGATATTTTGTACCGATCCTTAATATGACAATGTATCGTTGTAACGATACAGGGCCGTTCTTGACGGGGGTGTTAAAGGTGGCCCCGCACCTGGGCGGCCAAACCTCAGGGGCGTAACGTATAAATTTTGGTTATTACAAATAATAATCCTAAATAAGACTTCTTTTATGATTATAAAAGTTTTAGACAAATAGAATTCAAAGTAACTTTATAATCTTTGTAACACTACTCGTATACAAAAATTAACTATCTTTATGGCCAGCCCAAAAAAGAATGAAATATTTAGTAATGGTTTCTATTTACCAACCATAACACCATTATTGCAAATATTAAAAATACATCGCACTGTGCTCCAGAATTAAAAAGCAGCTCGAATGGTCGTAAACGAATTTCTTTTATCTTCCAATTAAACACACGTAAACTTATGATTATCCGTAGATAATTTTTGTTACATATAATGTTATTCTCCTCGGACCATTTCGTATTATGAATCTCGATCAAAAATCGAGAAAAATTCATCAGTTGCATCCGATGCATATTTTGTCCTCTATTGTATTTCACTGAGTTCTAGAGTCTATAAACGCATAAAATCCGCAATTTAGTTATTAAACGCCCTGTTTATCGTTCCATTTCAAAAATTGACCGTGAGCTTCAAATATCAATAGATACGACCTTGAAAAAATTGTTCATTCATACAAAAATTTACAGTTCACAATTTAAGATAATCTGTTTTAATAACATTCCATTAAATCCTATTTTTTCGTTTAATTCTTGATGCAGTGCTACATAGTATTAAACTTGAAGCTCCACGGGCCGTGTCTAGCTTATCAGTAGTAAGAATCTTCTTGCGAACCCGTGACGAACATGCTGAATTAATAATGTGCGATATACCGTTAACGTTGAAAAATTTATCAAAGTACAGCAAAAGTATAAATCTATTTTTCGAGTATTAATTAATTCTCTCAACAAAGAGACTAAGTTTCCTTTCTATGAAAATAATGGTGCACAGATTTCGGTGGGTCTACAGAAAGTATCAAAGGATATTGTCGAATACAATATTCATCCACAAATTAGTCCTGATTCAAACAATCCCATTTTAAGCTTCTTCTTTCAAATTTGGATAGCATGATATATTATAATAAACATAATTTTAATCGTATTATACGAAATGCTGTAGAACTATTGCGTGCCAAACATATAAATGCCAATTGACAATTTTTTGTGGCTAACCTAATATAATAATGATATACAATTTCATACAAAATATTATATAATAATATAATAGTGTTACATAATTCCATGTCACTAGATTATTCATTACTTCCATGAATACTGTACCATGAAATTTGTACCTATGTCCTTTGTCAATTAACTGCATTTAAAATAAAAAGTACCTGCTCCTAGTAGACTTCACTCTACACGTAATATGTAAATTATTCTAATTATTTCAATAACAATAGTTACTTCCCTGTTACAAAATGATACTATCACAATTTCTAAATATTGATTAAAGCGCTTTCTGTTATAAGCCTTCAATTATTCAAACATTTTTTTCAGTTATTCTGTATACTATTGAAGCTTGACTGATTAATTATTTACCAAGGCCTATTATCAATATTATCTACCAGGTAGACGTGTATTATACACCTATGGCTTTCGCAGGTTAATCGGTGAAAGGTCAAATGAATTCTTTATGGGATGTCGCGTGAGGCTCGTACGCTACAATATTTTCCTCCACAGTCGCATTCGCTTTGCCCTGTCGTGAAAACGGTTCTTTTTATTCTTTCCTATTTTCGAACATTTATTCAATAATTTATACATCGTTATCAAACACTCGACTACTTTTTAAAACTTCTTCAACATTCACCTTTCCAATAACCGAACGATTATCGGAGTATTCTGTGGAGTGTTCTATCGAAACGTTGAAGTTTGTAGAAACCGTAAACAATGGAGTTGGTTCGATAGGATTTCAATCACGCGTTTCGTTCAATAGTGTCGACAATTGTACAAAGTATGAATACCACACAGAGAAAAGGATGTGGAAAATCTTTATGGAAAACAACACGGCATTGTTTGGTCATTTTTAAGAAACAGGCTATGGAGTTTTGCCGCGAGACTGTGCTCCATGGCTACAAATACATCGGCGAGCATCACCGTCCTTTGATAGACAGGTAAACGCTTTCGTATTTTGTACGTTCTTTTTAAGTCATTATCTAAAAGATTTCTTTTTATTTGATTATCTAAAAGATTGTATTAATCAAAGAAGCAAAGAAGTTGGGGTAATTTTGACTCATTCCAGGTATAACTTTGTCCCAAAGTCAGTTAATGATCATTTTCGATTTTTCAACTCTTTTACAGATATTTTTACATAAAATACCTTTTCAGATAAAAATTAACTCAATTTAAGAATTTTTTCAGCTGCAAAATCGAAAATGATAATTGTTTGACTTTGAGACAAAGTTACCCTAAAGGAGTCAAAGTTATCCCAACTGACGGTTGTAAAAATTGTACAATAAATAATTCTAATGCACCTATTCATCATATATAGAATAATCGATACCAAAGGAATAGTAAAGGTCTGCTTTATTAAATATATTATAGTAGAACAGTAAATGACAAATTATGACACATCTGCCTGAGCCCAGAAATAATTGCAAGTTAGTAATAGCCACAGACGTATAATACCTAGATACAAATTATGACACATCTGCCTGAGCCCAGAAATAATTGCAAGTTAGTAATAGCCACAGACGTACAATACCTGCGCATTTAGCCGATAGGCCACGAAATATTAGAACAAGATAGCATGCTTTAAGTCACCATTCTGCCTTCGTCTGACATTCATTCTTTTTGATTCCCTGCACATCCCTGTTTCCCAGCAGAGTTGGGCATAATTTTATTCGAATAACGCATAGTGAAAAGCTGAATTATCTAAGGGCATCATTCTGTCGTTTAAACAGTTAATGAGATTAAATAATTATTTACCAGGTGTCGACTCAGTCAAGAAGAAGTATTATTTTATTATAAAAATTGGAATTTCCACGTTTAAATAATTAAAAATGACGAAGTACGTTTTTATCTTTTATTCGTTATTCGAAACTCTTTACCTAGATAATGAATTTGCCCATCTCTGTTTCCCAGATAATGAATCATATATGAATACTTCTCTATCGTAGAAAAAGACAGGTTGGTGATCATACAGCAGCTAACTTTTTCGAATTTTTTGACACGGCCTGAGTATAAAAAATATTTAGAACGCGCGGTTTAGGTATTATACGTCTATGGTAATAACGTTCACGCCAAGAGAATTAGATATTATAATCAGTTTTCTTCCCGCTGAAAGTGACATTACCGTGGCCATTGAATTTCATCGATGCTTGTTGTCTATTAAATATAAGTATTTTTACATGTTTAATCAGTGCAATACATGCAACGACTGGGCACATGAAAAACGTACTAATACTGATCTGTGTCAATTTTACCAATTTAATTTAAACGATTAATACTTTGAACTACTTCAAAATACTGAAATCGAAAAAAAATTACAAATAAGTGGAACAAACAAAAATTCTTTATTGTAAAAGAAATGTAATTTTTTTTTAATGTTTAAGTAAGAATCACCTTAATTTTTCGTTTTTATTTGACCGTTAACATATCTTTTTTCCGTGCCATCATAATCACCGCGAAATAATCTATAACCACCTAATTTTTTATGAAAATGTCATTTTTTTAACTAAATAACAAGTGATTAACTTCTCAGTATCAACTACAGTTCCATAAGGCTCGTGTTAAATAAAGATTTTCATAACGTTTCTCTCTTCAAAGTTGAAGCTTTTAAGATGGTTCTGTTAAATTTTCAGCTAAATTTATAATTATTAAATATTTGCGTGAGCCACCTTAAGTGGCCTGGGCTACCCACTTTTGCGTACCGCGCTATAATGTACTGATTAAATAAACCATTCGTATACGCGTCGTAAGTGCACTCATTTAGGGGGATCAATTCACGCGCGCGCGCGCCCCTTTTCACCGATATTACCGTGCTTGTTTCAATTAAATCGTGCCCGATACGATTGCGCACCGATGCTCATTTCGTATTCATTCCCGCAGAATCGGATGGGCGATAACAACATTCGCATCTCTGTGTTTCGTAACCATGATAATGACGTTCACCTACGATCATTACTCCGGGGATCGGCTCTCCTCTGTGGTCAGGTCGACCCATCACGGAATATGGCATTATCCATTTCCGGCGGTCACCATGTGCGATTTCAATCGCGTGTCCCTCGAGTTAACATGGAAATTGGTTGAAAAATTGTAAGTCTTCGTTTTTTTCTCCTTCGTTACACTAATTTTAAGAAACAGATTACGGAGGTTTTTGCATATTCAGTTTTAGATACGAATATATAAATAGTGGCATGTAACTGGTGGTGCAACCAGGTGTAGGGTGATTCTACGTGAAAAAATAAGTCGAAAATATAGAATAAAATTTTTTCATTTGAGACACCGTTTTCGAGAAAATCGACTTCGAATATTAATCTGAAACGCGTGTATTATGTAGTGATGACGATATACATTTGAATTGTATCGATAATTGGTATCGATACGAACTAATACCCAGAGTATCGATAAACATGTATATCGAAAATAAAATATCAAAGTGTCATTTTTTACTGGTTTTTTCAAGATCACCCATGTTTTATTTACGTATATGCACATAATTTTTCCTGTTATATGTTATAGCCAACATATGACCTTGAAATGACCTTGAATTCTAAAAATTTTTTAATTCACTTGTACAAAGTTTCCCACCATCTGATTCATCTCATGAAATCATTTAAATTACGTGAAAAAAATTTCGCATCTTCGGTGGCCTGTTTTAAACGGAACACCCTGTATGATGTATGGGTTAAAAGTGACCCAGTATCATCTAAACGAGGATTAACAGATCATTTGTTCTTTTTATATTTCTTTGAAAAAGCGATTTTTTTTAATACCCTTTTAGTTCCCCGCACACTTTCGATAATAATAAATCCTTACGGGTTCACCATAGAAAACTCCCGCCGTCCGTGTCGAAGGAATTTATTGTTCAAGAGATGCGACTGCTGAACGAGTTATTGTATCCCGGACGGAACGAGGGTAACATTCGGCACAATCTCTCGCGTTTGCAAAATATCTTCGACGCGAATGACTTGTCGATACCGATGGTCATCAAAGCGGTACGTACGAAATTCAAAAGATACCCCTCTTGACGCTTCTCATCCCTTCGTTCACGTTTCGTGTATTATAATTAGACTACAGAAGTTTATGCAAATTCACAGTTTCAGATACTAATATTTAAAACTTAAAACGGAGCAGAATTTTGAAGTCTGTACTAGAGGCTTTTACTACGTTCTTAATTTTATTTAACTTTATTAACACTAGAACTACCGATGATAAACATGTATATATCTATTTCTATGGAATCGATAATATAACTTTTGAAAATATACAAATTTATAAATTAACTAATTTCTTCACTTTCATGTAGCAATAGAGATTGTAAAAGATCTGAGAAAATGCATTTTTGTAACAATTTCATTATCCTTATAAGAATGCACTGACTACTTTGGTAGGTTTTAGTGTTAAAACCTTCATTTTATTACGTTTTTCAAGTTAGAAAACATTAGATATGTTTCTAAATATTCCCATAAACATTCGCAGTCTAATTATAATGTTATATTAATTACTCTGATTAACTGAGGCACGTATATTAAGCGAAGAAATATCATTTTAACAGGGACAAAACGAAAAAACAGATTCTCAATTTCAGGTGACGAGAAACTGTGAAAGTATGATGGATGCGTGCAGGATCAAAACTGAGAACGTCAATTGCAACGAACTGTTCGAGCCGAGTCTCTCTCGTGACGGATTGTGCTGCAGTTTCAATTACATCACTCGGGAGAATTCGATCGGGAAGGAAAAGTATTAATGTCGTTTTTGAAGTGAATCTTACATTAGTCGCAGAATTAAGGATCTCGATAAAGAAAAAGTTAAATCCCCGAAACACGTATTTGTAACTTGCGTGTATATAAAAACGTATCTAGGCTTTTTGTAATTTATTTTTTAAGGGACCCGCTAACGATGACTTCCTGTGGATATCAAAGTGGACTTACCGTCCTGGTTAATTTCAATCCGGACGATTACCATGCCACTATTGTTGAATCTGTAGGAATTAAGGTAACATCCACTGCCAACTTTTAATCGCATGCCACAGATTTTTCCTTGGTTCTGTTTCAAAAATAACGGATTAAGCCGCAAATACCTTCCGCTACAGACACTTAATCATTACTGGATGCTAATTATATAACTATGACGGCAAAAGTAATTACATTGTGTTTAACAATGACTGAGAACGTATAATTGGTTACTGTTAATTGTATAGTACCTTGGTCTAGTAGGATGTATTTACAAAAGGGCAAATATTTGTAATTTAAGTTAATATTTTATCTAATTAGTGCACCTCTAATTATAATTAACAAAAACTGAAGGTTTACTGCGATAAATTCCCACCTATACGTATCAGGAAATACATAAAAATTATTAAAATGTCCCCAAGAAGTATTGTGTATCTGACGATATTAGTTTATTAATTCGTAAGCTCAGCAAAAAGTGGTTCTCATCTTCAAAATACGCTCCATCGTCGATGCACAGTCTCCTATCGTCGGTTTACAACACAAAACAAATTATCATAATATTATTATAAGGGAACGAAATTCTCAAAGCATCATAATAGTTTCGGAGATCCTTCAATGATAGATTTTATCACAACGATGTTACAATGTTTATTGCAGGTCATGTTACACGATCCCTACGATTATCCAGGCTTTGATGCAACCACGAAACTAATAGCCGTTAATAAGTACTCGTTTTTAACTATTCAACCGGAAGCAACGTCGTCGACAGGGACCGTTCGAAGTATACCGTTGGCGACAAGAACCTGTGCATTTATGGACGAAATCGAACCGACGGGAATATACAAAAACGTAAAACGGAAGTCCGTTTTCGCGAAATACTCATTTCGGAATTGCCTGACGGAGTGTCGGGCTAGCGTGATTAAAACAAAATGCGGATGTATTCCATATTACTATTCACAGAACGGTTAGATCATTACAATCAATTTGTTCTTTTGAATCGCATTAACCACAGTTTACGATCTGTTAGATGTAACCATTAAACAATCCACTATTTTTACGAAATACAGACTTCTCTCGATTATCGTCTGGCTTGTCCTACACGATTATTGTCCAGGCGTTATCCCCACCACTTGGGTGGGGGGGGGGACCTGTCAAGCGTATACTTTGTTGCCTCTCCGCTTTTGTTTCCAAGGCTTGGTCTTGGGATATAAAACGAATTTACGATGGTCTGAAGCATTTCCCCCTATAAGTTTATTGTCCCGGCGCGGACCCGAGAATCGGAACGATAATCAAGAGCCTGTATGTATTTCTTTCTAAGAAAATGAAAAACCCATAACCACCTTAAACTTTGAACTATAGCATTGTACTGCGGTGACGAAAATGTTTTGTGCATAAAGTGTATACCTAGTACAATCATTGTTAGCCGATTTTGATAAGAACAATGGAATATTTGTTTCATTGTTTAATGCAGTAAACAAACGAATGTGATTATGATCTGTGGCTATCCAACGAACTTAGGGTAGACCGAGGTTAATCGGATCACTGGGCGAATCGAATAAAAATAAGAATTCCATAAACATCCAATAAAAATAATTATTAGAAATAAATATTTATCTATAAGATATATACAATATTATCAATAAGATTAATTCCATAAATTCCAAATAAGAAATCCATATTTTTTATATTCTCATGGAAACGAACATGTCGATTGTTCATATTGCGCCATTCTTGTCCCCCACGCCCAATCCAACAACCCATCAATTGTTTTCCGTACTTGTTTAGTGCTGGCACATGTTGTCATTGAGACGAACGCGTGTGAACGTAATAATTTTGGTGCGAATCTAAGACACGTAATCTGCAATTTCGTATTTAAAATAAACAAGTAAGCTTGAAAATTCAAACGCGTCCAAATTTGGTATTTCATATACTTTAGATAATTATATCATAATTCGTCTATGTATCATGTATCCTATTCAATTTAAAGTCCGTATGTATGGGGCTAATCGGATCACGTCATTTGGGGTGAATCGGATCACTCATTTTTCTTCGAATATTTTTATGATTACAAATGTGATAATTATTTATATACAGATTGTTCGTAAGTACATTAAAAAGACCAATCAAGGTTCATGGTGCCCAGAAAAAAATTAAAGATTGGGTACAGTGCAATGTCTGCGCAGAGTGGTGTCACGAGAATTGTGCTGATAGAGGTGGTGTTAAAGGACACTACATATACATATCTACTTGCGTCCTATGTGCAAAGTAGTGCATTATCATTAAATTATATTTTTTTAAATTAATTTAAAGACATTTTTTATGAAAATTGGAGTTTTTTCAGGGATGTCCGGATTATTCGATTCGCCCCAACTTTTATTGAGAAAGATTTTGGGAAGAAAAGAAAGATTTAAAAATTTTTTTAATTTTTGTATTATTAATGTTCACGTTAAATGTGTACTAATTACGAATTTATAATACATAATTAGCTTGCTAAACTTTAACTATTATTTTTTTACTATCAAACAGAAAATTATCAGATTCGCCTCGGTCTATCCTAGCTTCATAACAGAAGTACCAAACCCATCAAAATGGCGGCTGCCAGATTTCTTGTTATACTGTTACTGAAATTACATATGTTGGTACTGACGGGATTTGTACTAACATTTAACGTACTATACATTTTACTTTATACTGTTCCATGTTATACATATTGTATTTCATATCCCAGATAGCACATGACGCCTAATGACGTCTTCAAGACGCCTTAAAGGCGCCTTAGACCTCAAATAGCCGTAAAATGGGCGTCTTTAAGGCGTCATGTGCTATCTGGGTAGGTATATATTAGTATATTATCCCAGATAACACATGACAACTTAAAGACGCCCAGTTTATGGCTATTTTAGATCGAAGACGCCTGTAAACCGTCTTCAAAGCATCATGTGCTATGTGGGTATACAATTTAATTTGGTATAGATTCAGTGCTGGTGTTTCTAGTATTAAGGTAACGTATATACAAAAGAAAGCCACTATACATAATTTTATCTTAACCAATTATTTCTCAAGCTGCTTATAAGCCGTCGCATATTTTGGCGGAGCGCGGCGAAAATATTATAAACAACTGTGTCTTATATTAAGAATCAGTTGTTTATAAAGTTTTCGCATCGCCAAAGTGCGTGACAGACTTATATCGTCCTTAAACGGAACCTTATTAAAACAAAACATTCGAAGTCTAATATAATGTATAGACATAAATTATATGTTATTTCGTTTATATTCTTTTTCAATTTTCTACTAAATTATATTCTATTACAGATACTAGAGTGTGCAATTTGAAAGATGTCGATTGCTTAAATACATTTAAGTGTAAGTACGAAAAGATTATACAATAAGATCTCGGATAACACATCTAATTAAATAAAATTAAATTTTCAGATTGGTACACCACTGCTTGGCCAGGAATTGACCTGTCGCCTAAAACACTACCAACTGTGCAAGTGGACACCAAGCACAGATCTTGTGGTTGTAAACCAGACTGTGATTTTTATCATTATTCTGTTGAAAATTCGGTGGGAACTCTTCATAGTCAAATGTTCCACCACGGTCTCAAGTATACGAATAACATCGGGTAATTTAGATATAATTTAAATCTTT